CCCCAAAACCCCAAAACCCCAAATGTCGATAGTTATAGAAGTAGAGGGATTCTTAAAACATTTAAATAATAAATACGAAAATATTGACTGTATATATATAGGCAATAGTTATTAGTTGTCTATAATAATAAACAGGATAGGATTGATTATCAGAGATCCTAGCTTCTCGACTTTAAAGAGTATACAGATGACCTAATTCCGTCATCCTCTCTATCGTCAACAATGACAATCGGTATTGAATCTCTAAGGATTTTACCGAAGAAATCTCTTGGCGTATCACTGGCATCATAATTGCAAAGCTCTTCATCAGTGTCATAAGGATTGATATTTGTATATTTTGCTACATTTTGCTCATCATCTTGAACAAGCATTTTACGGTTTAGCTCTACTGGTCCTTCATGCTGAACTGGCATTGGAATATCCTCTGTTTGATTGTTAGCATCTTGCTCAAAAATAGGTGATAGATGCTATAAGTCGTTTTATATTTGCTATGTCTATTAGAATTAGGATTCCTCGGTTAATATTTCTTAAAAATGCTACTGCTATTGCTGTTAAATCATAATAGCTTTTTCTTAAGGGAGTGTATTTGGTTAAATTTAGAATCCTTAAGGATACATCTAATTCTAATTCAAGTACTAAGGAGGAGGAAAGGGTGGCATTATCCCTGGATACATATTTATTCCATTTTACTAAAGCAATTAAGGGGATATAGAGTACATTCCCATCATCATCATTTGGTTAATGTGTTAATCAATCATGATTTACTATTGCACATGCAGTGGATAAGCTTAAAACTAAGCATATGGATCCTACTAGTATCCGGGAAACATCATTTACTGTTAATAGTTTTAGTGAGCCCCTGTTAAATTTTACTAATTTATTGGCAAATTGACCTAAGTAAAAGGATTATCTTCTTCTAATATGAAATTTTGCAAGGAATGTTTTTATTAGTGACTTCCATTACCGTTCAAGTTTTCCATAATATTCCAATCAGATTCCCTCACACTGTCAGATTATCTGTGCTCAGTAGATGGCTTCGCAGATTCATTAACAAACTGCTTCTAATGCAAATTTTAAAGATCTGAAGACTCTATAATTTCAGGTTTCATTTCAGAAGTCTAAATACTTCCGAAATTTCTGAAAGTATTAGTATTATTACTGGAGGTGTTATCATTTTTGTTTAGCTTTATTTAATCTTTTTTAAGGACGAGAGTTCCTAGACTGATATTTTTTGAAAAATTGCTTTTTGTACTGGAGCCGGAAGGCATCTTTATCGGTGCAAGGTTTACTAATCCTATTCCCCCATTTTTAAGTTTGCCGTACTTTAATGAGTCTTTGCTTTAAGACTTTTACATCAAGTTAAAATTTGTATCAGTGTTATTAGGCATTGACTCCTATTAAGTTTTAATCATTACTGTTGGATGATGCAGATTTTTCATACTAAAGCTCTACTTATGATCCTTAAAACTGTCAACCTTTTAATTATTTTAAAGCTAGTTTTACAGCTGTTTTTGGTAAATTTGATTATACTGTTAATATTTTTCAATAAGATTCTATTTAAGGAAGATGTTTTCCATTGGTTTATTTTGAGTCTCCTAGCTGTCTTTAAATTCCTCGATTGTGTTTCTCTGAGCTGTACTTAGGAATGGTAGTTTAACAGGCTTCTTATAAAGCTTACTTGATCCAACACCCTTAACAATTCTAGTTGTTTCAACTTTTTTAGAATTATCATCTGACAGTGTCTATCCAACTTACTATGCTGATTCATTCTTTCTTTTTTACCCTTTTATTTACTATAATGAACTTTTTTCATCTAAATCTATCCCAGATACTTTCTAGGTTGGCTTCTTTCCTAGAGAATTTGTCTATCTGTTCTTTGCAGTGATTGGTTATATGTATTCCTCTTCTTTACTAGATTGATTATCAATGAAATTATTTTGAACCATTGGACTGTACTCGAAAATTTCTTTGTTAGAGTTATATTGCTTATCAAACTACGCTGTGCCTCCTCTAGGATCCCCTTGCTTTGGATAGCTCTATTTTTTGCTATCCCTAATAGATCTCTACATTTCATCTCTATCATGGTCCATAGGCGGAGGACCTTCAGGCTAACTCATAGCTCTTTTCATTTGCTCAATTTTGGATTTATGGTTCTTATCCTTCTTAACCTTAACTACTGCTGGGACCGCTGTTTTCTACTCCTCAATAATCACAATCTGATTGGGTGAGTCACTCTCACCTCCACTCCCCCTTCTATTTTTATTTTTTAAGTGCATTTATTATTGTTGTAAAACTGTTTAGTGATGGGGATTTTATCTTCCTGCCTTGTTTTTATCCTTTTACTAGTCTTTGGTCAATATAGTAGCTGCCTTATTACTGAATTCCTTAAGAAGTTAGCTCAACTAATTATTTTTTAGATTCAGCTCTTACTTTAGATGCTTTATCTCCTCATTTGCAGAGTTAAGATTGGCAACAATATTGGGATTTGGATTCGTCTAAGAAAAATAATTTTATGGAGGACTAACCTCTGTCATATCTCTTTATGCATGAAGTTATGGAAGAGTTTTGCTCTCCCTCTTCAGCCTTAACTATTGCACAGTGTCTATTATATTATTCATTACCTCTGTTTGCTTAATATTTGCCATTGGAGTCTCACCAGCTGATTAATTCGAGCTTACTTTTTATAAAAATTTACTCTTGTTTGATTTATCCTTTACTGATACATCGAATATCTAGATGGATTCCTCATCTATTGGTGCCATTGCTGGGCTCTAATGATTTTGGTCATAATTTGACCGGGGACTCACTTTTGTATTTAAGGTTAGCTAGGGTAATTATATCTCTCCTTTTGCCCTTGTTATTTTTTTAATATCTGCTGTTTATGTCTAGCTCTAATCAGTTCCCTAGCCAGCTTTAAATAATCGTTAAATTTAATCAACTTTTATAATTTTTTTCTTTTTTTAATTATCTATTGGTATTTTTCTAGAGACTGAAATCTATGCCTCTTGATTATTTGCATTTATCTACGGCTCTTTAGACTATGGTATCTCCTGTCTACTGTTATTTGAACTTGTATCAATTATTATCCTCTTATTGTGAGCTTTTCTAGATCTTCCACTCTTTGGTGTTTCTTCACGACTTTCATCTCCAGAGTTTATCATTTATTTTTAATCTGCATTTTAAGATATATTAGATTAGATTGACTAGTGCTTTGCATTACTATTCTATATTGATCTATCTTTTGGGGAGTTTGAGACAATCTATCGAAGTTTTAATTATTTTTACTCTAACAACTACTTGCTTTTGAAATGAGAATCAGAACCTGAGTTTGCATTACCAGTTAGCCCAGTAGAGCTGGATTCCTGAGAATTTTGAGAGAATTACGATGGATCCATATTTTTCCCACGAGTATCACTTCAGCTTTCTCTCTTGTTGGAACTCGAGATTTAACTAATGATCCCTGACTTGACTTATGGAGTGTTTTACTGGGACGATATCTTGGCTGTGAAAGAATCATTTTTTATCCTAAGATTATAAGTTGTATTCTTAACTTACTATCGGTTGCTATTGTTCTTTTAGAACTATGTCTTCAATGTTTTGTCTGATACGGGTGTATCAATACCATGGCTTCCTTAAGATTGCTACTGCATTCTTCGTCCTATTAGAATAAATTAACATATTATTATCTATACTCTCGATTAAATCAGAACTATTGTCGACAGTTGGATCGATTTATTTTTTTTACAACTAAGCCTAAAGCTCATTCCTCTGATTCTCCCTTGATTTTTTCCTTAATTTATCTTGAATTGTCTCTTCAGTAAGCTTTTATTTTGCAACTCTGTTCTGAACAGATCTGCTGCCTCCCTAACTATTACCAGCAAGAGAACCCTGGTCGATTTAATGAGTTTATTACTCAACCAAGGGCTTATTACTTTACCTTTATTGAATATTTTTGTTTTGCATATTATAAATAATAATTGAAGTAAATAAAATCATTAATTGTAAAATGATTAAAGAAATTATTAGAAATCCTACTTAACGGGGTTTTGGGGTTTTGGGGTTTTGGGGTTATTACTACCATTATTATTGCTAC